AATAAATATATTTTTTTAAACTTACAAGTTTTAGTATGAAATCGGGAAATAGGTACTTTTATGCAATGTTGATAAAATAAATTGGTGGAAACTTTTCTGAGCATAGCTTGAAGATACACATCAAAATTTAAAACATGTATTCTCATATTTTCTGTCCTTTGTATATGTGTATATGTGCTCTGGGAATTGAACTTAGAGCCTCTCACATATGCTGGACAAGCACTCTACCCCAGCCCTAAAACAAACACTATCTTGGACTCAGGAATTTCACTTCTAGGACTTTACCCTTAGGAGGCAGTTGAATGAGTGCAAAGTCCTGTTTTTGAGGGTGGGCTTTGAAGAGTTGGCCCTGGTGACAGCACAATGGAAGATGTACACAGCCAGGTGATGGAGGGGATAAAACTACATACACCCTTACAGCAGAATCCAGGGCAGCTGCAGACTTACTGAAATAGCCAAAGCATATTAGTAATGGGTTCACTGAAAAATGTCCAATTTGTCTATTAAAGAGAGTGAGAAGCCACTGTTTCAAATTGCTATTTGACCAGATTTTAGAACACATGTACTAAATTTGGATTTAAGGCAGTTCTGTAACTCTTATATGTTATTCTTGCAATGACCTGCCACACCTGACTGTGCCTTTTTGAGTCTCTATGGTCTCTATGGACTCTCTTCACCCCCCCAGTCATGAGTCCCTTTCTCATGGTTTCCAATCAGATTGTTCATTGTTCTGTATGTGTGGACATGTTTGTACTATTAGGTTATAAGCCCTGTCAAGGAAAGAGATGGAATCTTGTTGGCCTTTATGGCCTTATATCTTCCCATCAGACTCAGAACTTTGAAGATGAGCAGAGAATAGCTGCTCACCAACTAGGGAGCACATTAATGTATTTTTTTTTCTTCCTGCTTGAGGTGGAGCCAGATCCCTACTAGGCAAATAGTCTGCCACTGAGCTATATTTCAGCCCCAAAGTTAGCTTTTATTAGTAAAGACCTGTGCACAGGAAGGGTCCAGCTTCTTATTCATTTATAGTCTAAGGAAATGACACCTGAGTGAGACATTGCAGATCCTTCTAGAACAAGATAGGATATAAATATAATATTTAATTGGATGACTCTGCCTCAGGAGGAACTCAGTCCAGACACTAGTGTTGGGGCACATTGTTTAAGTAGAAGGAGGAAGGTGGTTTGGGACTGTGTGGGTTGTCATGTCCCTGTAGGGGGATCGCCCCATTAAGCCCCTAAGTGGGTGTCAGGCCGGCATTCAGTGACTAGGACGAGGAGGGACTGTTCCCCATCTGATGTCTCTGTCACATTGGAACATCTGACACAGAGTGGCTGAGTCATGGCTGAGTCACAGCCGGCCATCTTTAAGGTGCTGCATCCCTCAGCCAGGATTTGTGGGCACTTGCCCTGCACTTGGCATAGTGCTGAGCGCATATTCCTCAGCTCTCGATAGATGCCTAGCCTATTGTTGTGGTTATTTCCTTTCATATTTAGCATGCTTTTCCTCTAGTTACACAGGTGACATACACTCATTGTAGAAAATTTGGAAAATACAGGAAGCCATTATTACTGACTTAACACCCCCATAGATAACTATATTAATATTTTGGTATATAGCTTTTCAAACTAAATTCTTCAAAATAAAAATATCCTTTTCTCATGGACTACAAATTTGAGTTAAAATCTGTTCAGAACATGAGACAGAGCTTTGGAATATTTTAGCACTTCCCTTTATTAATGTGGGACATGCAAAAATTCCTAGGTATGAAATGCTAAAATTCTATGTTGGGTGAATTGAAGCAATAGCTAAGGCTGGCGGAGGAAAAGTGTTTTTTCTGGAGCTTTGAGGAAAGTGGTTTCGGTAGCTCTCCCCTGTTTTAATGTAAGTAAAAAATGTTAGAATAGCTGGGCATGGTGGTGCACATCTTTAATCCCAGCAGAGGCAAGCACATTTCTGTGAAATCAAGGCCAGCCTGGTATACATAGCAAGTTACAGGCCAGCTGGAGCTGTATCCTGTCTCAAAACAAGAACGTTAGAATAAGCATCAAAATTAATTTCAAATAGAAAAAGCCTAAAAACTGTGGTGTATTCCCCAAGACATATTAAGTGTGTGGGTCTCAGCAGCTGACAGCTTGTTTCAGAGGCACCACTGTCTCCCAGGTGTCCATCACTAGTGGGCAAGGTCCATGTGCTGTCTCACTGGACCCTCGCAAGCCTGTGTGAGGCCGTCACTCACTGTTCATTACTATCCCAATGTAGACAGGGCTCACAATGGGCATGAGATTCAGATGTGAGTCTGAGATGGAATAGTTGATCTGTTGATTGGTTTGATGACCAATTGGAAGAACTGGTCATCAAAGTTCAAATCTGCTTCCCATGCAGCAGTCACTGCCTAGCTCCAGCCTGAAGTCATCTTCTCATTGTTGGCTCTTTCAGCTAAATCTGTGAATGACAAGATTCCATCTCTGCCCCCTAGTGGGGAACTGCACTATGTTCGCACCCAGCATGCTTCCAGTACCTATGCTGGCTGGATACTAGTGAAGGCAAACCCCAGACTAAACTTGCCCTACAGGCTGCTTTTTGGTAGGCATCTTCCTGAAAGGGACAGAGCAGGTTGGATCCGGTCACACAATACAAGCAAACCCCTTACGGTTCTTAGGCTTCAGAGAAGGGATTACTTAAATCCAGAATCAGTGCAGGTTGGTCTTGCCTCCCAGGCTAAATCTTTTTTTTTTTTTTTTTTTTAATCATTATTTTTTAAATTTTTAGTAACTACATGATTAGAAGAAGCATTTCACTACAGCTTTAACATATTCAGTAACACACTCCAGAGCAAGAGTACACCTCTTTCACAAATGGGTGTAAGTTTCTAGGTTCACAGTTGAGTTAATATAGCTATACAATATTGAACTTAGTATAAGCCCTGTAAGACATAAAATTGAATGAGTTTTTAACCTTTAAAAAGACCTCCATTTCATTTTAGAATA